TCTGGGCATGTTGGTGAGAGTCCGTAATCCCAGGATTTAGGAAGCTTAGGCAGAAGGATCACTGTACTTTTGAGGCCAGCCTGGGTTACATAGCAATTTCAGTGCCAGCCTGAATTAAATAGAGAGGGCCTGTCTAAAAAAAAAAAAAAATCAGACTTGTCTACCAGGTGTGGTAGCACATGCCTGTAATCCCAGCACTCTACAGGTTGTGGCAGGAGAATTAACACAAGTTTGAGGCCAGCCTTGGCTACCCTGTAATTCCAGCACTCAGGAGGCTGAGGCAGGAGGATTGCCATGAGTTTAAGGCCAGCCTGGACTACATAATCTAAGGCCAGCCTGAGCTATATCATGAGACCCTGTCTCCAAAACAACAACAGAAAAAGCAGAAGTAGCTTGGTATTGAGCTTCCTGAGACCCAGCAGAGTCTTAGAATAGTTGAAGAACCAGAGGAGGAATAATGAGCTGGTTGTGTAGACTCCTGTAAGTGAGGCTGGATCTGGCATCTTTTAATGTAGAGACTGTGGGGACCAGAGCAGGCCAGCACTGCAGGCAAGCCTACTCTCAAATGACAAAGCTTTATTGAGATCACAGATCTTTGCTGGATTGGGACTTTGGCTGAAGAGAGTTGGCATGGTAGAAAGAGGGACCAAGCTGCCCTTAAAGCAAACAGTGCAGTAGGTGTTTCTTCATTCAGGGGTGGGATGAGCTAATGCATGCTAATATCATTGGCCAGGGCCATGGTTCCCAAAGATGTTTCTTCTTGTGACAGACCTGGACCACCAGGTAGCCATGATCAACTTTGGCCTGGAGTCTGTTGAATTTTCTTATAGCCTGTGCCATCATCCTATGCCAGACACCCTGGGCTCATTGCTCTGGGCCCCATGCCAGGGATAAAGGGCTTTGTGGAGGACCACCCAGATGATTCTCCTGGAATGAAGGGCAATTGCCTCCATTTTGGCTAAACCTGGCCCTATTTCCATGTATTGATTTGTACAGAGCTGGTAGGACTTTTTCTTATTCCTTCAATTGGCTTGAAGCAATGGAAATCAGTCCAGCCAAAGTGCTTATGACTAGTCTTTCAAGCAAGGCAGCAGGCAGTGTTTCCCCACCCCCACACCTCCCTAAAAAATAGGTATGAGCTGGGTGGATGGAAAGCCATGCTCCACACCACCAGCTGGGATCTGCCATGACACAAGAGGCTATAAATTCCCACAGCATAAAGGATTGCACATCACAGATGAAGCATGACCCCCAAACATCAGATGCTTCCTCAACTGTGCCACGCAGATTACTCTTTCTGCATATCCTCTCTGCATATTGCAGAGGTGATTTCAGGCTTCCTACCTGGCCCAGCTCACAGCACTCATTTACTTCTTGCCATTCTCACAGTCGCTCATCCTCAAACCACTCCTTTCTTTATGAATGAATAAAACCTGGGTTCGGCCCTGAGTCAAAGCCTTTGTTCTGGTTAGCCATCGTTTTAGCTGGACTTAGGGCCCCTTGGCTCCCCACAAACATACTTTAGTGTCCTTATTCTCATAATGGGTTGCACTGGAAGTGGTATATTGGAATTAATTTATTAGAATTCCAATAAATTTTCCATGGGATTGCAAATATAAACTTCCCAGACCTCGATGAAGATTGGGAAAGATTCTCTGTAGGACTTGAACTTCCTGTGGGGGCAAAACAAAGAAAAACACAGAGCTCCAATAGGCAGCAGGCCAAGTTAACCCTGATTTACATTCTGGGACAAAACATTTTGAAGTGTCTGAGTTCAATCCCCAATTCCACCAAAAAAAGAAAATTTAAGTGAAACACATCTTTATACACAGCTGAATAAAATCTAACCAAAAGATTAAGACAGTCAAGGCGATAGACAGAGATGTCAAGTTCTTATCTCAGTCCAGTTGCTCATCTGGCATTTTTGGGCCCATAAAGAGTCAATGTTTTAATAAAAAACAGCCTTCAATTTTCTACACAGCAAGATGGCAGCTGTTGTCACAACTTAGAGTCACAGAATGGCTCTGTTAAAAGAGAACAAAGGTGGAGAAACAGCATGCCCTACCACAAAAGGCAACAAGTTATTGTTTCCAGGGGTTTATTTTGTTATCCCAACCCTTTGTCCCACCATTATGGTCCCTACCTGTCTCATAAGGAATTAAAGAAGCAGCCAGGTGTAGCCCAACCCAAAGTCCAAAGCCCATATGGGTTAGACTACAATATCCCTAGAAGGCATGTGGACTCCAGGGTAGCTTGAGGAAGGTGAATGGATGATGGAAAACCAACTTCATCAATAGATTAATCTGTTGAAGAGTTCATAACTGAATGTACTGTTAGAAATGGGGCCTATTCAGGGGAAGTAGATCAATGCTAGCATAGCTTAGAATGAAGAGAAACACCCATCTCTGGCTGTTCTTGCCTTTGTGTCCCACTGCCATGAAGTAAGCAGCTTTCTCCATTATGCCCTTCTGCTCTGATATCTCTGCCTCGGAGCCAACCAACCATGGACTAAAACTTCTAAAGCTGAGAGCTCACATCAACCTTTTGTCCTCTAAGCTGAATATGGCAAGCATTTTTTTCTTTTTTGAGGGGAGTTTACATTTCAATTTTTCCTTCAAAAGGAGTGAGTTGTGTACAGGGTGTTAAATGCTTTATAGACAAGAAAAAAAAACTGCACTAGAACCAACTTATTCATCATCTTCTTCCTCTTCATCCTCTTCATCTTCTTCCTCTTTCTCTTCATCATCTTTCTTCTCCTCCTCCTCCTCCTTTTTTCAGTCTTGATGACTTGCTTTTTTTCTGCATCAGCTTTTCCTTTAGGCCAGTAGGCAATGATGTCCTTTTCATACTTTTCCTTCAGCTTAGCAGCCTTCTTCTCATATGGCTGCTTGCCATCTGCTGCAGTGTTAGTCCACATTTCTCCAGTTTCTTTGTGACATCACCAATGGAGAGGTCAGGATGTCCTCTTCTGATTTTTGGACGATATTCAGAACAGAACAAGAAGGTCAAAGGAGGCCTCTTGGGTGCACTGGGATCCTTGAACTTCTTTTTCCTTTTTCCTTTAGGAGGAATAGAATTTTCATTTCTCTTTTATAATGATCCTTGTCCTCCTTTGCCATGTTATAATGGTTAAAACATTGTGTCAGCTTGAGAAGTGAAAAGCTTAATTAAATTGGCTCAGCAATTCCACACCCTAGAGTGTGGAGGCCCCTCCCTAGGATGACTCATCACTTAAAGGATATAAAAGGAAGTGAGGAAGGATGAAGCATTCCGCTGCCACAGAGGAGCTCTGGTCTTTGCAGTCAGAAGGGAGAGAGGCTTGCTAGATGCTACAGCTGCTGCTGCTCCTCCCTTTGCTCTTTGCTATTTTCTACCTC